CATTTGAACATGAATTTGTTTAATGCAGTAGCTGCAAATGATGGGAACTGCTTGTCTGTTTTCCAGTCTTTACGCTCTGGCACACAATAATCCAATCAAATTCTAAATGTCAAATTAGTCATAATTACATTAAATATAGATTAAAGGAATATATTTTGATGCAGAATTCTTTGCTCACAAAGTTTACTGATCATTTTAAATACTGTTAAAAATATCCTTGAAGTTTTGTGCACCTTTCAAATTCGAGGAACATGAAAAAGAATGTGAAAAGTTGTGGAAAATTTTATGCCATTGTGTCATAGTTTCCAATGCTGACTTCGTAAGCCTTAGTCTGAAAAATAAGAAAATTCCACACAGTCACAGGCATTCCAATTTTGAACTTCCTCCCTAGTTTTTGCTTTATTCAAAAATCCTACTTATATAAATGCACCCCCTCTTTAAACACAATTTGTGATTTGAAGAATCTTCATTTTGGGTTCTTTTGTACTCTTTCCTTCCTGAAAAATCATTATTTTTTACAACGTGCGCAAGTTGGAACTTCACAACACTAATGCCTAGAACCATCAGGTTTTTTAAAACCTAGCCAGAAACTATAATCACTCTCCCATTGCTGAATACCAACTGCTAACCATCCCAGAAATCTTCTAGAGTCCCTAAATTGTCACTATTTAGTCCTTTTGCTTTCATATTAGCTGCTTCAAATACAGGGTTATATATTGTAAGTTACATAAAGATTATTTAACAAAGTACTTATAAGTTTTGGTGACCGAGTCCTACAGGAAGCCAGTAAAATATCTCAAACAGGGAAGACAGCAAGTTTTCTCCCAATACATACTTTTCATATTAAAATTACTTATACATATACACACATATGTAAGAGTGGACCAAATGTGTCATTACATACTGATAGCTGCAGCTTTAGCAATGCAAAGTTACCAAACTAGACAATTATAGCCAGTTTCATCTGTGTTTGCCTGGCTGTCACTCAAGATACATAGCAGTTAAAAAACATCAGCTGACTGTGGGTTGTAGAGCATTTGATGAAGTCATACGCTGTGTTTTTCTACTAATGAAGAACTGAACTGGAATAATCATTGAGAATTTCCCAGAGAGTCAGATTTAGACAAGGCCACATTTATAAAATGGGTACTCTACCTTTCTGGCAGAGTGGAAGAGAACAAAGCTCAGCAAGCAAGCTTTGCAGGAGCACTTGTCTCCTAAAAATTAAAGACTCTTTTCACAGAGTAAGAAAGACCTGAATTAACTAGTGGGAACACTAATCAATTTGCAAGTAGCATTTTCTACTGTAAATACTGCTTCCCATGAACCCAAAATGACTGAAAAAGATTAAAGAATTAAAAAGGAAAAACAAACAAAAACCAAACAAACAAAAAAAAACCCCACATACCTCTTTTGCTCCTGCTATTATGTATTTAGTATAATGAGAGAAACAGTAAAAGATTTACATTCAATTTTGGGTCCAGTTTCTTTTTCAGGAATTTTTTTTATTATTTTTTTTTATAGATTTTGATTTATAAGAAAATTTACTCATACAACATGAATTTATAATGGCCATAGAGTTACCCTGTGTAGTATTGGTTTTAGTAATCATGACAGAAATGCAGCAGAGAGGACAATAGGTCATACATGTCTGGTCCTCACTGAACAGAATAAACTCGTAACTCCATTATTACTTAACATTATGAGAATGAAAAGAAGTTGACAGTAAATTCAAAGTAGAAACAATCCAAATCTAATTAAACCAGGAATTCCACACTGATTTAACTGTCCTGTTGATGATGTGAACCATAGCGCTTTTAGCCTGGAAGATATTTATGGAAGTTTTGGGGAAAATACATCTTTCTGCAGCAAAGACTAAAACTAGCAGAATATTATTGATTCTCATGAGAAAGCATGAACAAGGTTAAAAATCAATGTTGTAAAGGAGTTTTTTTAAGAAAGGGACAACTCTTAGGAGTCTGCTGGTTTGGAAAGCTGAATATATACAATTCCACTGAAAACAAGGAAATCTTGTGAGAAAGACAATAAAGCAGAGAGAAAGGGCTCCTTGGGAACATGCCAGGAGGAGTCTGAAGTTTGAAGTTGTTTATTTCCTCCAGGTTCAGAAAGGGAAGATTTCATTAACTTCCTATGTAAATACAGGGTTACATTAAATATAGCTGGCTTTAGCATAAGTTTCTATTGCAAACAGAGGGAACCTGGAAAGGTCCCAGTTATTAACATGCTACTTGGGCCAGTGGGTGATGCTAGTGACAAAATAAGATAAATTCCCAAGGAGATACATTTCAAGCTGATGAAATCAATGTATAACTAAAAGAAGTCCTGATTGCAGAAAGATGACTAAAAATAATTATTAAAAAATAAAGTAACTTTTATTTCCAAAAAAAAGCAGAGAAGTACACTTTGTTGAAACAACTTCTAAACCTGTCTGGATACTGCTACTAGAAAGTTATCAAATATAAAGTGACATGAACTGAAGCACAGAAGTACACAGTTATTCCCAACAGGATGTCCACAACGGTGTTACATGAGGATGATTACGCCAGGACTGTTCTGCTGGTAGATTTTCATACAGATGATGTTGTAACTTAAGAGCTAGATATAACCCGCAATAACCTGAGTGCATTTTGTTAATGCTGACTGAGCTGTTACGGCTGTATTCAAAGGCTTAACACAGCTAAAATGAAAATCCATGAAGTCTTCAATGAAATTTATAGAAACAAGAAACCCAGAGGCAGACAAAGACCAATTTACCAAGTGTCAGGTTTCCCTTAGTAAAATGAAGCCATCCTGTTTCTTTTACATGATACCATCTGCTCTGAATAAGCATGCTGCTGGGGGACCCAGAGGGAGAGCAAGCAAAACAGAAACAGCAAACCTGTAGATTGCTACAAATGTAGTGACTGCTAGATTTCAATGTAGTATTGCCTTTAATTTAAAATTATCAGCAGATGGCTTGCACAACCTGTCAGTTAACATACTGTTAGGAGTAATGAAATCTGGCAGCCATTCCTGGAATAGCTCAGTGGACGCTATTAAATATTTATCAGTCTTCCCATATCTAAAAACTCGTAGAATTCGCCCACATTAAGGAAAAAAATAAAAAGAAATAAATAAGTAAAACCCCAAACAACAACAGTAAAAAAAACACAAAAAAATCAAACAAACAAACAAAAAGAACCACACAAAAAAAAAAAAACAACACAAAAAAGTCCACTACAACAAACAAATGCAATTGCAGAGATTCTTCATTAGAGAGTTTTCCTGGTGCCAATTCTGTGTATAAGCAAAGAATTTAGGATTAGGGATTCTGGCTTGGAAGTTTGTGTTGCATTGCTGGAAAACCACATCACACACTGTGCTGAGAAGGAGGCGTGCTGGAAAGAATTTAGAAATCCCAGAGGTCCCACAAAACCAGTGCTTGGAAGAGTTAAGAATTTCAGTCATTTCATGTATTTTAGGCCTCTGAAATACCAAAGGGTAAAATCTATCCACAATTCACATTAGTGCGGCAAATGCAGAAACCCAGCTTTTACTTGTAGGGTACTGTATACGAGTTACCATTAAACGTCAATAATCAAACGAATAGGTACCTGTGAAAGGTATTTTAAATGAGTAATTAATATTCTTGAGACCTGCTGTAGAATGTTTTCATTTTGTCCTGTGCATTTCTTTTTATTTTCTCCACTGTTCCTGTGTAGCTCGGCTACTTCACTTAACAGTTTAAATATTTCGGCCCTCGCCATTTGAATGTCATCTACATTTTTTACAAGTCTTATTGTCTGCATTCATTGCAACACAGACCTTGAAAAAAATAAGATTGAGAACTATTAGAAACTTACAAGTGCCCAGGATTGATTTCTCATTTCACTTGTGCATTATATTGTCTGGATCCTGTAGTATATAAAAAGCAGATTAGAGAGAAGTCTGTATGTACCAGCATCATGTTTTCACTGAAGGAGACTCCTCACTGGAGCAAATAAAAAAACTTAAAACGCAGCCTCTTAACTGAATTATTTTGATTCAGGTGGCTCGTGGAGTATCTGAAACACATCTATACAAACAGAACACTGAATTTTAAAGAGGCAATAGGAAGAAAAGCAAATGAAATCTGTAAGAATGAGGGTATCATCCCCAAGGCCTTGGGCTACATTTGGTCATAGCACATAAACTTTCCCAATAGAAAGTCCTCTACCAACAAAATTTCAGTCTTTTTTAGAACTGTACCATGCATTATGTATGGTGTTATCATTTCTTCCTTTTCCCAGTCCAATTAAGAATTCTTGAACTTTACAGTGTAACACCACATTTTTTTGTTGGGTCTTGAAGGATTTTTGTGGCTCTGTTCATGAATAAATTCAGGAACATAAGAAACTGAGGAACTCAACAATTAGATCATAAGACTTTTTTTTTTTTTTATGCTTTTTGTATTTTTCATACTAACTCAAACCACCACATTGGTTCCAAACAGGAGAAATGTCCATTTGGGCAGCACAGGTAAAATGGGTATAATATGACATTTGTAGACAATAGCTGGATTTCTACGACATAACATTAAATATGGCTCCAATGCCAAGAATTTCTTGAATATGATTTTGCCTTTGTTGAGCTTCAATTTAAAATAACACATATCCATTAATTTTAATCAACTAAAGCCAGAGTCGCTTTTGTCATGCTAAATGATACCCAGATCCACAGACACTCCATATAAGCATGGCCATAGGTCAACAACTATCCCAGCATCCATCATATGAAAATGTGTGCACTCACATACACATGTGAATGAGCTGTAGATTCACTCTTTCACATACAGATAATAGTGGGAAGGAATATTAATTTTACAAACATGTTAAAAGAGGAAATGTCAGGATCTTTACTTGGCAGGTGGTGCAGTACAAAAAAGATGTTTAGAAACAAATAACGCTTTTAAATACTTTAGAAGACAACTGGTCATACTATTCAGGTGTGTTACACAGAATCATAGAATAGTTTGGGTTGGAAAGGACCATGGTAATTCCAGTCAGGTAAAAATCAGTAGAATGAGAGACTACTTAAGGAAAAGTAAATGAACTTTTATTAATTAATGCTTTATTTTTCTGGAGTAGAAATATAATACTTTCATTTAGATTTCTGTAGGAGGGGCACATTATTATGGGTTATTAACTTATAAGGAAAAATTTCTAAATGGATTTATTTTCTAAGTCTGCATGTCTGAAGTTTAAAACCTCTTCTTCCTCTCTGAGAAAAATAAGTGAAGATAAACTATTTAGCAACACCACCCATTTTATGACCATCTTAATTTATTAAGGAGAGATTTTTTTTTACATTTTTATGTTTTAATTGCACCAGAAATAGCTACAAGTGGTTGTATTCTGCAATTGAAATGATATGACCATTGTCAGTAAAGCATTAGTCACTAAAGTGAATGTGGAAAGCCATGCTGAAAAATAGTACTTACTATAGTTATTGAAATATGAAGAAAAAAATGTAATAAAAATTGACTGATTTTATCCATTAAAGTTACTTTATTTTGCTTGTGGTCAATAAAATTAGGACTGAACTCGCATTCATATGGAACTCTTTATGAACCTTTTAATACAGAAGTGGATTAGCTTCTAATACATTTGCTAAATTTATCAGCATCTTATATTAATTAATTGACCCATATGAAAATTCCAATGTTTTTCTCTTTGTGTTCTCGGTCTGTTTTAAAAGTGTATGTCCCGGTGTAAGGATGGCTGTTATATATGATCATTGTCCATTATTGCCTCTTAACTTTCACTTTCCATTATTTAGAGAGCAGCATAATATTTTTATATTAGTGCTCAATGTTCATTCAATTTCTAGTTTGCTTCTCCATGTAGATAATAGTACATGACAGTCACTCTGCATTACAAATTGGTTTAAAACATTAATTAAGCATTTTAAATGGCATGTAAGCAAAAATGGAAACATTCACAGTAAGTTAAATTTCAGTGTTAGTCAATGGTTGGAGGGTGAGAAAGGGAGAGAAAGTGTCAGCCAACAGTGACTTTTTCCTAAAGAGAAACTACTCCCACACACAAGGCAAGTGGGGTTGGGAGACTAATTTAAAAATAATGTATTCATCTCTTTTGTGCTAGGATAAATATCACTGGCTTTCAGATACCATTATAATGATAGACTAACATTAGAACTGGCTGCAAATGTATACTGCATCCCTGGAATTAGCTTATTTTTGAAGCCATGTGAACCTTTTGAAATTACTAGGATGTGAAAGCATATTTGCATGTACAATTTTGACCTCTTCTCTTGCTCTTTGCCCATTAATGTATCTCAGCTAGCTTGTCTTTTAACGTTCCAAAACTTTCAGTAGCTTTCAAAGCTTAACTTTTCTCAAAGAAAATATGCTGCTTTTCCTTTCTCCTCCCACTCTAAACTCTCCACAAACTTGCTTAGAAATTTAAAGATATACTACTCCAAAATGGTCAGATGGTATTGGACTGAAATTCAGATGTGAATGTTTCATGAACTGCCAGGAAAGGAAACAGTGTCTGTATCTCTGTGAAAATTTAGGATTTCTTGTAAACATTTAACCTTGGTTGTCAACAACATGTTGGGTCATTGACTTGAAAGGCTTGAACAAAGATACTTCTTGTTAGACATTTTAAAGATATACTCTACTACTGCTTTCACTGCAAGAGCCACACATGCTAAATACTGTAATTTATATTCAAAAACCTGATAGGTTTTTCTGAAAGAAGTTAATGCATGCTTTTATATAGTGGAAGAATAATTTCAGTGACACTTGGCATCATTTCTATAACCTGGTTTTTAATTGCCTATTCACAAGTAACTCTGGTCACTTAAAGAAAGAGCCAAAAGGAAGTCTTTTTCATATCCATTCCTGAACAGTATCTAATGCTATAAAATTAATGCAGAACATACTAAGAGCAGGATTATACAGTTTTAATATTTAGAAGATTTGAGAACTTCCCATATAGATACGGACTTCACTGGCTATTGCCAAGTGTTAAAGGACTGATATTTACACACTTGAAGACTCATAGTGCTGAGAAGGAAAAGAATGAGGTATAAACTGTGTGCCTCAGGACCTTGAATAAGTACTCAGATCCAGCATGAAATTCAAATAAATGAGCATCTGAGTATAAAAAACAAGCAGTAATATAGAAATAGGAAAACCAGAAATACTGTATTCATTTATGTACCAATTTTCTGAAGAGAAGCACACATGCACATAAACACTAGTAACTAATTTAACCTAATGAGAGTCCTGTATACAAAACTAGATCTCCTTTTTCCTACTGAAATGCAACATGCAGTAGATCGATATACATCACTTGACAAATGGGTTGCTACTGTTAAATTTCCATATAAGAACAAAGGAGATGAAAACGTTCAAAGCACATTTTCCTTTGCTTCTTTCTAACTGGCATTATCTGTTCAGCTCATGATAGCTAAACTAAAATGAAATCAAATTTCTCAAATTAAGTTACTCTTTAAGTTTGTAGCTATCCCCACAACAATCTATCATCCAGAAGCATCATTAGCATCAGACATGTTGCACTGACATAAGATATTGTTTATTGCACTGGACCAGAAAAGATTTTAATTAAACCATTTATGCACACTAACAGATCTAATGGCATCCCAGAAGGCAGGGGATGTTGGTGTGGGGGGGAGGGAGTGTTACATTTACAGGCTGTCTTTCAAATTTCCAAATTGGAGCAATTAAAGCAGAGGTTTATATCAAATATCTTTAACCTCTTTGTAGCCAAGTACTTACCAAGAAAATTTCTGGAGCTCTTTGTGTCACTGGTAAGCGTTGATTAATACTCTACTAGTCTTTGTCTTTGCCCCATTAAGAGGTGGCTCTCAAGATTTGGGGCTGCCCCAGCCATAAACCACTAAGCAGCACTCTACATAGCATCACAAAGTAGGAGAGAGGTTAACACTCCATGCTGCACGTCTCCCACCCCTTCTTGGAAGTCCTCATCCACACTTATGATGCTGTGGCCCCAGCATAGATGAGGTTTATGCTTTGAATGAAGACATCTACTGACACAAGCAACTACATGTGCCTTTCTCTGGTGGCTGTAATAGCTTCTTCTGTTTCAGTCAGCAGTATCAGCAACTGGTCTCTTCAACACGAAACAGTCATGAAAGCCGAGTTCTTAAAACAACTTAGATCTAGCATGTGTGTTTTACAGCAAGGTGTCTTCAATGTATTGAACCTTGACAACACTGCTAGCTTACCTAAATTACTACAGCTGTATATAGTGTTCCTTCTCCTATTTGTAGTGACTTGACAACACCTTAAGGTCTATCTTTTCACAAAATTATTTCGGCCACTGAAAGGCAGCAGCCATGCTGTTGCTGATGAACTCAGTGATTACTCACTATTAGTGTTGTTGCTTACCGTGGCCGAGCTAACATGATTCAAGCTAACCAACTACTCATTTCCAAGATGCCTACAGTTATATACACCACACTTTTGTGACTTTAGAAAGAGTAGATACACCAGATAGCTATAACCACTGTTCTTACCAAAATGAAGCTGAACAGTGGAACTAAAGCACTTCTTCAAAAATATACAGCAATATCAAGGAAGGTACAGCAAATCTATCCCACTATCCCAGGGATACTTTCAAAGTTAAGTAACTCAGCAGATTTCTGCATGGGCATACAATATTGTTACTTCAACGTAAATGTGCAAGGAGCTTATGAATGAGGTTTATTTCCAAATAGAATGTGGCCAGCTATCACAGCATTTGGAGCTGCCAGGCATGTACAAAGTCACATTTGTTTTCTAATTCTAACAAGGGCATTTATTCTTAACATTAAGATTAGCTACTTCTCATTCCTGTGATGAAATTTAATGTGCTTATAATTATGCATATGATCTTAGTATTTCAAGAATACTCTCACATATAGGATTTAGTTTTAAGACTGCTGTTGCAGTTTTAAGATTGCTAATACTGTGCTTCTGCCATAGTATTTGTTCTGAGAGGAGAAACAATTCTCACACCCCTTCTGTATAGTCTTTTCAGGCTCAGCTGTTTCCCAGCCCTTGTTACAATTATTGGTTTTGTCCAGATGCAGGAAAGCAGAAGGCAGCTGCTTCTGCAGGAAGTGTCAGCAGGGAGCACTTCTGCACAGTTCCCAGGCCCCCAGCCAGCAGGAGAGAGCTGAAGGCCCGAAGTCCCTCACTTTCTGGGATTCTGCAAGATTGATTTCATTGCTCCCAGTAGTCTGAGAGACCTGTGGAGCCTCTGTATTCAATTATTTGTCCTGGATAGCAGCATTTAACTAGGATTATGGTTACTTTCCTCAAGTAACAAGGGTCCTTGCTAGACTTGCCTATTAGTGACTATAGAGAATTGACTCCTGCTGTACTATTTCCTGTTGTCATTTTCAGCCTCCCTCATGAGAGGAGGACGGAAACTCTTAATTTGCAGAAAATAGAGAAGACTTGCGTTTTTCAGTGCAGTGCACAGAGCATCATCCACAGAGACGGCCTCTTCCATCATTCCAGGACAATAATCTTCCTACTAAGTCAATATTCAAATACTGAAAATACTGCCACCAATACCATTTTAATTCTTGCCTCCCTCTGCTCTCCCAGTAAGAAAATTAGATTAACTGAAGGGACCATTTCATACCTGGGCAAAGCAGAAATGTTCCCCCTTCCATGTTGCCATTAGATACACTCTTTTGCTAGCACTGGTTGTCATTTGGGCACAAAGATAGTGTCAAGCTTCTATGAACATCAAAACTTCAGGGTATTTTTAGTATGGTGATTTTTCAGACATACCTCGTCTTTAATCCAGCTTCTCATAAAACTGCTGGTGACAGCAAGGAGAAGGTAGAGGAGGCACAGTGCCCAGAGAATACACCTTTCCAGGAGGTTTAAAGCAGCTGTGAATACAGCTTCAGTATAAGATTTCACAGAAGCCCAGACAACTGAAAAATATGCTGCCAGGGATGGTGGTGGGTCTCCTCACCAATAGTTTTCTTCCTCCCATCCCTCTCTTTCTCACCAGAAGCCACCCTTTCCTCAAGGGAACTCCCTTGTTTAATTTACAGACAGTTCAATTCACAAAAGTGTCAGAGAAGCACAGGAGTGGGAG